CCATGCCCTCATCCGTTCATTGTCAGAAAATAGGCACTATACCTTTCTGGAAGTAATCCACTTTCTGCAGTTCATATAGGAGAGCTGTAGTCTTCTACCTCATCACTCTAGGGTAAATCGACTTGATCAGCATTCAACGACATTTATAAGGAAGACGGCAATCCTTAATTAGCATTCTAATCTCGTTAAGCGGTGTTCGAAAACCTTCGTGGATAATTGATGCCAGCATATGAAATGCATGCAAGAAGTACGTTGAGATCCACGTAGCACTTGCGAAGACGGTTTATGTAATATACTTGGAAAATCACCTTAATTTCAATAAAAGGTGTTCAAAACTTATCACAACCTGGATATCCCATCCACGCTAGTTCGTGGATAATTTATGGATTGCAAATCATTATGAACAAGCTGTACCCTAAAGTCTTTTGAATTCTCTTTTGAGTTGGATTTTAAGAAAGCACAATGTTTTCTTGGTGAGCAAAATATATACAATACTCTCTTGATGAAGAAGCTCACAAAACCTAACGGTCATTTATTACAACTACATCCCGCTAAACCGTCCTTGATCAAAGTGATTTTGATGATGTGATCCTGTGCTTTCGAGATTTTAAACTACGCAATTGCTTTTTCAAAATGATTTCTTTTGCACCGGTAAGAAACCCTTATATTTTTTAAGGCTCGCGTGGCGCAGTGGTCATGCCGAGTAGTGCAGGTGGTCGTTGGTTCGATCTCGTGTCACGTGCTCACCAGTCGATTTATCCGTTTAAAGTCGCATATTGGTATCAGACATGCTTGGAGAATAACAATACTAATTTGGTATATGTGTAGACCATCCTGACTAAGGAGGCCCGAATATGCATTCAATAAGCTTTACTGTTTCAATAAAGTCAAATACATGGCTCATCCCGTTTGGATTGATCAATGACGAAAGATCTATCTTTACACTTCTGCATGGCTGACCTATGAAGAATTTCACGCTTGTCGTTGTTGACGATGATGTCGTTAAATACGACTGATAACTATGAGATCTATGTGCAAACTCTCTTAGCGGAAAATCTATTCACAATTCAATGAAAGAGTTTATCTGGGATGAATGGACACATTCAGAGTTTCTTAGTATATAGTCATCATGTGAAACAGGTGACCACTCTAATGATTGTCAATGAGTAGTAGTACTCTTGGAAAATCACAACATATTCGTGGATACTGAAAGATTCATAAAACTTTGAACCTTAGGTGGAAATTGAACAATTGTTTTACCCATCGTGGGTAAGGCATCGCTGCTCTCATCAATCAACCAGCGGATTTGTTGGAGTGACTGCCTCGACGGTATGGTGGTAGCACTCGCTCCGCTATGAGTGAAACAATAGTTCAGTTTTGCCCGGGTTTTTTTTCTTCAAAGTTTTGATTGTTATTAGGTAACCTTGGATGTATAGTTATAGTATCACAACACTGCTATATAGAATGAAAATAATTTTATATAGTTTGTGAGAATGCTTAAAGCCTTTTCGAAGTTGATACGGCAGTGGCTTGAGTACGTTTCGACAGTATCGCTTGCTTCATCAGAGCCACACGCCGCGCTATGAATCCCACTTCATAGCAAGGATGAGGAGACGTTATGGTAATAGCACTTGATATTGTGTTATCACCATTTTTTCAGTCGATGGATCACGGCTGGTGGTGAATATGTAGACAGTACCTAGAAAAGGCTTTGAGTATTCTCACAGATTATATTGAGTTTTTATATCGAGGTTCTAAATAGTCGATTAGAAAGAGAAAAAACTTCAGTAAATCATAAGATATTATTGCTCGTTAGTTTCAACGAATTTGTAAAGGTGACCAATTCAATGAATGCTGTGGTTAATGACACTGGATAGTATACAAGCAGTTAGAAACAAAACATGAAAGTCTTACAATCCTGGCTGTTCTGAAATACCAGATAAAAGAATTCAGATTAGGATTACAAATCATTTCAAGAAGACCTTGGAAGCACAGCGCTCAGATGCTCCACAACACACGTGTGGCCATTAGTTAGAGGCAATACCATGTTCTAACAAAACTCTCTCGAGAAAAGCTAAAATGTTGCCACAATTCCATGGGAGAACAATTACTAATTTGATTTATCGCGACGGTCAAAAAATCTTTGTGCAGGTCAATTATGAAAACATCTACGAGACGTAATACGGTAGAATGGATTCGTAGAGACCTGAGCAACATTGAATACACTATTAATTATTTCCCTATTCTGGAGACCTTGGTAATTTATAAAACGTCAGGCTCAAGGATTCATCTCACATTTGACATTATAATTATTTTCACCATGGCATGGAGCATTGAACCAAAAGGGATTTCTGCAGCATGGAAAGTTTAGCACACATAGTTAACACATGCGTCAAGATATACTTAAGGCTCACTTCAATAAAGCCATTGACTTATGAACTATTTATCGAGCGGATCTACCGGACCTGTTAAAATGTTGAACAGTGTGTTGTCGTAGTCGTGGGTGTAGTCCGAATAGTCAGCATAGCAACCACCACCAATTTTGTCATACCGACTTGATTTCCACATTAAAAATTTTATTCCCATGGTCGGGCTGATTTTTTTTTGTCATTTCAAACATCTCTCAATTTTCGATTGATTCACTAGAATTGACATCCTAAAGTGCCGTAAGAGTGATAGAATTGGTTATAGCTTTCGGCTCATTTGGTTATAGCACTGGTTTTTTCGTTGTAACACTTTCCAGTGCCAAATTATGTTTCATAGGTATGAGCAAAAATAAAAATTCTTAACTGTATAGAACGTTTAGAAAAGAATGAAGCTGTTTTTGCATCTAAGAGGTTAAGATTTATACAGTTACAATGTTTGGCAGCTTAACTGGCCTTAAAATCGATACTGCTTACCCGACTAAGACTGACAAAGGTTGTTGGCTAATAGCTACGATAGAGAGATATAAAGTAATGAGTGGTGAGTAAGCGGTGGCCTCGGTGATGTGCTGATAGCACTCGCTCTGGGTGAAACGAGAGTTCAACTTTTGCTAAGGTTAGATTTTTTGCTCCCACTCAATTCTCTCGGGTACATTTGAAACATCATAATACTGCGAAAAGCTTCAAAAACATCTTGGAAACAGAACAAATCTTGGCTCTGTCTTGTATTTACGAAATAATGAGGTGAGTTGACAATAATGAGCCATGGAAGGGGAACGTTTGCTGTCTCCATGCAGGCATATAGAAGAAGGTCTTATCCTGTTTGGTCATCTATAGTCACATGATTTGATTCTTTGATTACTCATACCAAAATAGGAATCGCGAAAATTAATGAGAGTGTTATCTCGAAGATGTGCTACTGCCTATCCTAAGTAGAACTAGGTGTTTGATAATATAAATAAATTTCATTAACTGTAATCATTGGCATTCTGTCTGCTTACTCATAAACTTATAAATGGGAGCAGCAAATCTTTATTGCAGTCTTCGACAACAGTACCACTCCCCATTGCTCTGAGTGGAACATTGCTTGTATCGTTATCTTGCCCCATTGCTTCGAGTGGAACTTAGTTTGTATCGTTATCTTCTACGATATGCAGATTTCTGAAGTTGTATCGCAGCGAATAGAGTGGAACAAGGACAAAAATTGCACGATTGACAAATGGTTGGACAAATAAAATGTCCGAAATGATTACGATATATTATTGAGTGAGCCATGCAAGTTATTGTGATTCCGTAGATGACGGTGTCGATGTAGTGCTTAGCATCAGCTGACACTTATTTTCATCGTTGTGCACATATATCACTAAATCAAAGTGTCCCTTATCAATCTTGCTTATTATTCAATACAGCTTACTTGTTGTTCCTTTTTTCAAGTATCACTGGTACTGAAAACACTGGTGTAGCTAAAGTAATTTGCGTTCGCAGGTGTTTTGGAAGTTCATGTTTTTGTAAGTTGAGTAGATTTTCCTTATTTTTCAGTTGTACGTCGCTCTCACCAAATGTCTGTTCATTTTCACAATGACCTTTTCACCTTACTGTTTGAAGGGAATTTGTAAATACTAATGTCATATCATTGATCCTACTGTCTTGTAGCATCCTCGGCAATCAAAAACGACCTGAACGTTCCAGGTTGTCTATCCTCGATATTGCAAGGGCACGTGCTCGGACAATTTTGTATGACGTTTATGAAGAAGAATGAAATCATCATACATAAAACGAATCGAAAGCTGTATTTAGTGGGGGGGGGGGGGTGCACACTAGAAAAGAACTGTGATAAGGGTCAAGTAAGTGATGAAGTAAACTGGAAGTGATATCATTTGAAGGGTCGTTAAAGAATAAGGTTGAATAATTTGGTGTTAACCAATCGTTGAGGTGTGCGCCATGCACTTGTGCCCACTCGTAGTATCGTATAGATGATTGATCCATATATTGCTAACACCTTTACTTTCTGGTTATTGACCATGCACAGAGTCGGTGATTTATCCTGTCACCGTAGTTTTCTTTCAGCAAAACACAAACTAGGGCTCCATATTGGAACAAAGACTCTATGTAAACCAAAAAGGGGAAGTGGGGACACTTCCTTGCACAATTTACTTGCTCGATATTACATGTGGATGACACAGTCTTTCATCTATATCTATTCATAATCTCCACGAGTGAGCACATGTAGCGGAGTGGTTAAAGGCGCACTTCTCACACCAGATTGATGGTTCCATTTCGCGCTCATGGCTCACCAAATCGTCCATTCCTCAGGTGTTGGTGAACTGGTACCAGACTGGTCTAGGACTTGTTTCGAAGGATAACCAGCACGACTCAATATAGCGGTAGACCCGGCGGGTCATTGTAAAGGCCAGATGTGTATTCAGTCACCTCGAACGAAGTTTCAAATTGAAGACAAATACGTGGCGCATCCCTCATGGACTGCCAACTCCTTGAGCTTTATCCTTTATTTCATATCCATGAGCAAGAAATTAGTAATTATAAACCCGATGATGTAGAGTGATGTGAGAAAACGTCTGCGTCAGCCGGGATTCGAACCCACATCTTACTTTTTTCAGGAGTAATGCTGAACCGTTGCACCACCGACGCTCGTTTTGTACTCCCCTCTTTTAAATTAGAACGAGTTATCTGTCAAGAGCCAATCGTCTACGGTGCGGCGGAGCAGTCATTATTGACATTACCCACTTATGTTGACATATATTGGGTTTCAATAATCACTATGATTAAAATTAGTAATTGTTGCACATGCTGGAATTATTCAGGTAGAGATTCAACCTGAGTCATTTGTTTCCACATTTTTTCCTATGAAATATGATATAACTTGACTTTTCAACAAAGAACTAGTTGAAGAATTGTGTTCAAAATGTGACAAGGATAGGTAAAATGGGATAGGTCTTGCTAATAGGATTTATGGTGGTTATGAAGACAAGAAAGAATTTCTATTCAAAAAGAATTCCATTAACCGATTTGCCAATTTGTGCCAGCAATTTTCGACCTAATTCAAAGCTCTGGAGTTCCTTATGCCATGAGTGATATTTTGGCCGAATCACTTACTATGATGTTCATAAGGAAGCTACTGTTGGGTATACTGCATGGATTTGTTTGATTTTTCATCTTGTCTATTACTTCCTAATGCTACTGATGATTGTTACGGTAAAGACATAGAATAAATCTAGTAGAAACAGCGAGTACGCTCTGTACACACTAATTTCGCATATTATGTTGAATTTAAGAGCGCATGTGGCGCAGTGGTTAGAGGTGCCCTGCGTCGCACACGAGGTCACTGGTTCGATCTCGCGCTCATGGCTCACCAAGCCATCCATCCCTCCGGGGTCGGTAAATTGGTACCAGACAGGTCTCAGACTTGTCTGGGAGGATAAGCAGCTTCAGCGGGAGGCCACCGCGAGTCATTGTAAAGGCCAGATGTGCATTCAATCACCTCAAACGAAGTTAAAAATTGAAGTCAAATGCATGGCGCATCCCTCAGGGATTGATTAACGCCGATAGCTTTATCCTTTTTATCCTTTTTATGTTGAATTTAGCAATCCATTTGCTCCATTTTCTCGTATCCGTTAAAGGCAAAGGTCATTGAATGCAAGCGTGAATTCTCTGCCACATGAAAACCTCTTCTTCGTAGTCTTACTAAATGTTAGTTGGGTTTAATGCCTCTAAGGCCCGCTGTTTCTACTAGATTTATGCTGTGTTTTTACCGTAACAATTACCACTTGGCTTGCATCAGAAAAAGTTTCTCTCAGACAAATCTATTAGCAATTTTGCAACGAGGATGGAGGGTCTAGCCCGTATGATACAATGTTGAATTAGAAATCACGCATCTGCCGTGAGACATCTGCAATTACTGTGCTTCTCGTACTCATCTAATATTATCATTGGAAAATTCATCTAACAGTGAAATAAAATAAACTCTTCATTCTTATCACCATTCAATAAGTCTTGTGAGGTCGCACAATATTCAGTCAACGATGTTGTCATAAGTTATGATGTCAGAGATTGTTCTTGGGACATGTGCAATAGTCGGGACATATAGTCACGATATCGAGAGCGTTCCTGCAAGAGAGGAATGACAGACGTGGTGGAAGAAACTGTTAAATTTGGTGGTGCACGCTTAGAATGTGCACACAGAAGCATGTGTTGCTATATTGTTTATAAAATATTGAAATCCATAAAAACACCTCGATAGAAACTGCCTACGCTTTTTTCTATGTTTCTTATGTTAGCTTGTGAAAGTGCTACGCAAAGATTGGCGAAATGGTTTGGTATTTGAGCAAGAACGCCTACAATCTCTAAAAAGCATAATGATGCTTTGATACGAATAGAAAGTAAAGTTGAAAGTTCATGTATCAGTGATGACCAGTATTCATATAGTGTGCTGATGAGTTCATTCCTTTTTCTGTCGCTTGCATTTCAAACAGTGTTTGATAATAGATATTTGACAGCCATGCATTCATTAAATGAGCTCTTTGCGGCTAATCACATTATTTCAAAACAAAAATTATTGTTGAGGAAGGCATCATGTCATGTCTAATCCCATTATATCGCGTACATTTAGTAATTTTAAGACATTTCGTAAACAGAAAAGTCTTCCGATAATGAGGATATTTTAATCCCAGACACTCAGGGAAGAAAAAAGGAAAACTTACTGTAAAAAACGCGTCATTTCGATTAAAACTGAGTATTAGAGGAGTACGCAGCATGTCTAGAAGATCGACTTCTCTCTTTTCTGCTAAAGTGCTCCCTGAAAAATCGTTCATCAAACGATTGGTATTATGGTATAAGTTTCCAAAAACGAAAGTAAAAAAGAAATACTAATTCATTTTACTTAAACATAATCACTCCACAAAGAATATAATGATCGACTATATTAAACGAAAAAGAGAAAATTAGTTGCCATCATTTTTATATCAAGGCTTTCTCCGGTTCTCAACTTTTGTGGGCATCACAGTACTTCGGAGAATCGAAGTGCCAGGCGCAAAGGGCACTTTATTTTCACCATGTTCACTCAGGCCAATAATAACTTCGACATATTGTTAAGCAATTCCTGTTACAAAATTTTGCTGCGTAGTACTTCTAAGAAAAAGAAGTAGTCATTTGAATTACTTCACAAAAAGATCTGTTCCTTTCTCCTTTAAGGATTTAACCAAACTCCTATTCTTCGGGCTGTGATATGCTTTCTGTGGGCATAAAAATATTCATCTGATAAATAAAAAGCCTCAAGATTCTTCAATTACGGATTCACGAAACTTTATTTAGTTGAATATGTAACACATCCTTCAAAACACACAAGCGCCAAATGAATCATATTTAGCCTTAAACCAACAATGACTGATCAATGCACGGAATATCTTTCATCCATAAGAATGTAGTTACGTCTCAATCCTGTCTTTGATTCACAGTAATCGGGGATTAGTTGTGATGAAGACTACAAAATACTGGGAGCAAAGGTTTCTCAACTTTGACATGAGCTATGAACAGATACGTCGTTTTTGCTTCATTTTCTAATATTTCCGTATTAATACAAGAGTCTAGTCTCACGCTCGCTCCAGCAGTATAGGCCTTCCGTTATTTCGAACTTCAAACATTGATACCGGTTGGCTTAGATTCAACTATCTTAGCGAAGCTTCCCTAGCAGTCTTTATAAAAATCGTAAAGAGTCCCGAAAATTTGTAAGCAGTTGACGAATCGGCAAAGAAAATTCGAAGTCTTTCATTAAACATGGATGCTGGCCATGAATTTGGTTACAAAAAGTGCTTGGATACTCACATTATGCAATATCGTATCGTGTGCCGTGGGACTAAAAAAAAATTCTCAATGCACGCGCGTTGTAACGTAGTATTAAAAAGTGTACATTCCCATCTAGGTCTTAGACACGATAACAGTTCCTCGTTAACCAAACTTTCCTTTCTTTCAGATTCGGTACTTCGATACCAGTCCTGTCTGTGAGGATGAAAGCTGCAGCTCACCATCATTTTTTCTACTAACAACATACATATTCACATACCTCTATAATGTTTAGCAGAGCAATTGTGGATGAGTCTCTTGGGGACTGATTGATTAAGAACGCCTAATTCTGTTAACTTCATTATCGCTGTGCGTAATTGCTTCTCACAAAGAAGCGAGAACAAGCGATTGGGAGCTGTTGAATACGAAAACAATTTCATTATAACACAATAAGGGTGTAGCAGCTCGACGGTACTTATGCAATTCGTCCCAAGAACAGCCTTCTTTCGACAACACCTGGCGTTCATCAAAACTTGCACCCCGCGAAGCTCAGAAAATTGGCTATCAGACATGTTTGAGCTCTACTCACTTTATTAATCGCGAAAAATGCCTGAGGTGGGTTCTGTAAGACTCCAGAGAGGTGATTAGATTACAGTTCAATGATATTGATGATGGCAAAGCTGTTCAAGCAGCAGGTAAGCCCACACCCGAAAAAGCTTTGGAGTTGTACGTGGATAGTGGCTGCGAAGGAACGAGAATGTGTCGAGATGACCACATTGAATGAGCAGACGGGCCGTGTAAAGTTAGTATATTCAATAATATTCCATCCTGTTCTGAACACTTCCGTGTATAAACTTACATGCGTTTAATGTGACAATTAATAATGCAGTAATACAAGTTGCAGTAGGCATACCTGAAAAAGTAAAATTGCACCGATAAGTTACAATTGAAATATTGCGCTTCAAACTTGATATTAAAGGTATCCATAAAATTAACTACGTTAAAAAAGTTTTGACAATCTGACAAAAACAGATAACGAAGTGAGAACAGAACCATTTTGAAAAATAATAATGAGTAAAATCATAAGTAGGACGACACATGGCGCTACAGCTTTTTTGTGCTAAGAGCAATATTGGAGAAAGGGGAAGGAGATAAAGAGGAAACTACAACGAAGATGAAGATAGTGGCAAAAAAGTTGACCTTTCAAACTCCAGAACAAACGTCTAAAAATCTTTCCACAACGTTTTTCTGCTAAGTTCAAAATTTGATACATTAGGAAACTGATATACATTAGATCAAAACATGAACAAGCAATTGAGATTCGATGTAATGAGATGTTGAAAGAAGATAGTGAAAAGACTATCACTGTTTTAGAAATTGAGAAAACCGGACACATGCAAATAAGGGTATAGTAAGGTAGGTTAATTCTGAGAATAAAATAATGAAAGAATTCCGATTTCCTATAGAATTCATTTCCGTGCGCTTCCAGACTAACAAATTTCCAAATGACGGTAGCATTTCAGTCTTATCAAAAAGCAGTGTGTTGGTCGAGAATGCAGGGGTACTGGGATCCGCCAAATAGATGTCATAATTGGTGATATAAATGATTTCAACTGATATGAACATTCTCACGGATCTCCCACGTAAAGGGATTATGGGTTGGTTGGTGACGAGAGCGCGTAACCATGTGACGGATAGGGGGTTTGAACAAAATTCGAGAACAATCATGTGTTTTCTTGAGAATCAAGTGGATTTTAGAGATCGGATTTCTGTTTGCGCAATAGCAATTTATTACGTACCTTCTCTCTTCAATAAGACAAATAAGACAAGTATAGCAGAAATGTTCAACTGAG